ACCTTCTCTGCCCTAGGAGCCTGGGATGGAGGTGGGGAGCTTCCTTCCGGGTGCTGGGACCAGCTCACCTTCTCTGCCCTAGGAGCCTGGGATGGTGGCGGGGGAGCTTCCTTACTAACAGTTATTACTGACTGGTTTTATTGCTTGTGACAGGGTCTTGCTATATAGCCCAGGCTAGCCTTGAATGTGTGACCCTCCTGCCTCAGCCTCCTACGTAGCTGAGATTACAGGCAGGCACCACCATGTTTAGCTACTAATGTTAACTACCATTTTGCTGAGCACCTACATCTTAAGAACTATACATGGTGTTTTATAAATGCTATCTCATGTATACCTTTCAACAAAGACACAAGTATTACTTTTCCTTTCCCTAGTGAGGAAACAGAGGGTCAGAGAAGATAAGTAAATTTTGCCCAAGCTAATTTGGAAAGTGACAAATCTGAAATCTGAACTTGAACCTGTGAGTGCAGACACTTACTTCAGTACTCAGGTGAAAGCAGTGTAAGGCCCCATCTTCTGTTTGCAGCTGAAGTTCTAATGAAGTGGTTTCTTCATCTCCACATTGGCCCTACCTAACTGTATCTGTGAATGAGGACTATGGGAAACAGGGGCTCCCCCAGCAGAGTAGGTAAAGCTTAGTCCCGTGCTTATTCCAGACCCATTCCCACCCTTCAGAGCACAGTAGTGCAGGTAAGAGTGAGGAGGGATCACTGACCACCAAACAGCAGAAGTGAAAAATGAGCACACAACTGCAGATGGAGCACCACTCGGTACCACAAATTAGGCCCTTCCTATACATTCAAGAAGATTTAGAAGACCGGGGAACACTACAAATTCATAGGGGAAGGTTGAACGTGGAGCCACATGCCTGTAATCCCAGCACTCAGGAGGCTCAGGCAGGAGGATCACTGAGTTCATCAAGGCCAGCATGGGGTACATAGTGAGTTCAAGGCCAATCAGAACATGTGAGACCTTGTCTCAAAAAACAAACAAACAACAATAACAGCAAAGAGAGAGACCAAACTGCAGTCAAAACAGAGAGTGAGGGAGGATTGGGGTATAAGGTGAGTAGCAGAGTGTTTGCCTAACAGACACAGGCCATAGGTTTGACCCCCAACATGAGAGAGAGAAAAAAAAATGAAAAGAAGAGGAGAAGGAGAAGAAGAGGAAGAAGAGGAGAAAGAAGGAGTGAAGAGAAGAATGGGTCTCACTAAGTAGCCCAGGCTGACCCTGAACTTAAAGCAGTCCTCCTGCCTCAGCCCTGAGTGCTGGGATTACAGGCGCGCACCATGACACCCAGCTAGATGAGAATTTTTTAAAAAGAAAATTTGTAATTCATATTCTCAGTGAGAATTGATACAAACATTGTCTTTTTCCTCCATTAACTAGAATACAAATCAATGAAACTTTTCTTTGGAGGATAATTTATCAAGTCTATTAAGAATGTACTTTGTGAATACTCCTAGTCCTGAAGATTCCACATTTAGAATTTATCCCAAGTAAACAATTATACATATGTGAAATCACACACACACAAACACACACACAGTATTTATGGCACATGGCCAATAATTAAAAACTGGAATCAATCTAACTGTCCAAAGGGGTTTGGCTTGGTAAATTATGAAATTGCCCATACAATGATACTCCACGCCACCTTAATTAGTAAGTGCATATTATAGAAAGATGTCTATAATATATTATCAAGTAGGAAAAAATAGATTATAATATTAAATATATAGAGGGAAACACAGCTTATTATTCCATCCCTCTAAGGAGAGAATTTTCATGGCTACCTGGCTCAAGAAGAAAAGCTAGGCTTCTAATTTGTTAAACAGAAAAAATAAAATCTTAAAAAGAAGTACTAGTAAAGTAGCAAAAAGCAAAAGAATCAGGGTGAAAATTCTTATAACAAATTCACAACTCAAGAAAGCTGTACTGCCAATAAATATCTTAGACAGCTGCAAGATAACCAATTTTCCAAATGAATTTGATTCTTTCTTGTATAAAATTATCTTGCATTTGAAAGATCACCTCCTTTCATACTAGAAATATTAAGCATAGTATAGGATATAAACAATAAACATGTCACTTAGAATGGGAACATTTATGGATTCTTGAAAACTCAAGTTTCCACAAAGTATATAAATCTCATGACTGAGTTTTGGCAACTAAAAATGTCATCAGAAAACATAATAATTTGAAAGCAATTAAAATGATACCTATAAGTGTAGAAGTCCTTGTTTTACTTACTTCTTAAATATAATTGGGATGGAAAGTGATCAAATCGATCAGGTACAGAAGATTCTGAGGATGCAGTAAAAAGATTTCCTTTGCTCTTCAAGAAGAAATCTACAGTATCAAGCTGCCGATTTTCTATCCCGGCCTAATGTGTGTAAGTAGGGGGGAAAAAATCAGAGAAAAATTACAATAAGAAAAAAACATCATTTGGGGGGTTGCTGACGCAGAAGGCTAGTGATTTCAAGGCCAGCCTGGGCTACAGAGTGATGTCCTCTAAAAAAAAAATCAGGATAGTTTCTTTTCAACTTTAGAACTTGATGTCCAAGACTAAGGAGATACAAGGCTATCTTTTTTGTTTGTTTGTTTTTGGTACTGGGGATCAAACTTGGGACCTTGCGCTTGGTGGTGGGAACCACTGAGCTACATCCCCAGCCCAGGCTATCTTTATTTTGCATCAGTACCTGGGTTCTAGTGATGATTAGAGAAATGACTAATTATGTAACCCAACGCAAACATCTGGGATTTTTTTTTTTTAAGACAAGGTCTTGCTATGTAGCCCAGTCTGGCCTTAAACGCAGGATCCTCCTGCCTCAGCCTCCCAAGTGGCTGGTACGGTAGGACTAAAAAACATTTCCAGCTCTAACATTACAGGTCTAAAACCATTCAAAGCTAAGTACTTGGGAAACATCCTTACAGTTAAGTTACAATTTGTATGAATTAAAATTTTATATTAGGTTAATAATAAATTAACTGATCCCTGAATCAGTCCCCACCACACACATAAAAAATAAATGAACACTGATAACAAATACTCTCCTCTGTCAGAAATCAGTAGTTCCCCCTTATCTGAGGTTTTGCTTTGTGTGGTTTCTGTTATTTATGGTCAACTAAAGTTCAAAAATACTAAATGTAAATTTCTAGAAATAGGAGAAGTCATATTCATATAACTTGTTGTATGGTCTCTGTTATAACCATTCTATTTATTAGTCATTGTTCATAACATACTGTACCTAATTTAAAAATTAAACTCTATCATGGTTTATGACTTCTTTTATCACAAGAGAAAAAAAAGAACAACCACAACAATAAACTGAAAAGGGAAAACAGACTACCTTTTTTAACAAGCATCTTGAGGAGTCTTATACAGAACACATTAAAGGCACAGACTAGGGCTGGGGGTGTAGCTCAGTGGTAAAACACTTGCCTAGTGTGCACAAAGTCTTTGGCTCAATCCCTAGCACTGCAAAACACATAAACAACAACAACAAAACAAACTCACATGGAAAACTTGTCAAAATGTGGACCCCAAGCCCTGTCTCCACACTTTTGATTCAGTAGGTATGGAGGGTGCCTAAGAATTTGTTTTTGTGGTCTTGGGGCCACACTTTGAGAAACAATGGGTCTAACTTCTGGATGTTAACATATAAGGGAGGTTGGGGAGAGAAACACTGGTGAAGTATGGAGAAGAAAAGACAAAACAAGGGTTTGTGAAAAGTGACATTCCCAAATAAGGAATGAACTAGAAAAGTAAATGGCCCCAGAGGGACATCATAAATTAACTATACTTTTGCTCTGGGTGGTGGGAGGAATTATGTATGATTAAATAAGAGAACATTTTTCTTCTGAGGAGATATATGTTAAAGTATTCACAGTGAAGTCTGCAGCCTTCAAATGGTTTAGGCAAACAATAACAACAAAAAAAGTCAAATTATCCTGTTTGCAGAAAATATGATCCTGGTGCATGCCTATAATCCCAGCACTTGAGGCAGAGGCAGGAGGACTGCCATGAGTTCAAGGCCAGCCTGGACTATATAGTGAGTTTAAAGCCAGCCTGAATTACATAGTGAGACTTTATCTCAAAAACAAACAAAAAACACCCAAAAAGATCCTTTACTTAGATGACCCTAAAGCCTCTACCAAAAGACAGTAAGAGCTGCTAAACAAATTCAACAAAGTAGCAGAACATAAAATCAACAGCTTTTCTATACACCAATAAACTAGCTGAAAAAGAAACCAGGCAAAAATATTTTGCTCACCATAGCTAATAAACAAATATATACATACATAAAAGATATAATACCTAGGGATCAATCTAACCAAGGAGTTGAAAGATTTCACAATGAAAATTTGAGATTACTGAAGAAATTGAAAAAGTCATAAGAAGATGGAAAGACCATTCATGTTCATGGGTTGGCAGAATTAACGTTGAAATGGTCATATTACCAGAAGTGATGTAAAGATTCAATGCAATTTTCATCAAAATGCCAATGACACTCTTGACAAAACTAGGAAAAAAAAATCTTAAAATTCATATGAAAACATAAAAGACCAGAATAACCAAAGCAATCCCAAGCAAAAAGAGCAAGGCTGGAGGCATCACAATATCTAATTTCAAATTATGCTACAAAGCCATAACAAAAACAGCATAGCACTAGCATAAAAACTGATACATAGATCAATGGTATAGAATACAGAACACAGAAATAAGCCCATGCAATAACAGCCATCTAATTTTGGACCATGAGAATTAAAAACTTAAGCTGGGGAAACTGGATATCCACTTGTAGAAGATCAAAACTAGATCCCTATCTCTAGCCCTGCACAAAATCAATTAAAAAGTGGACCAAAAAAAAAAATGGATCAAAAACCTACGTAGAAGACCTGGAAACTTTGAAACTGGTAAAAAAAAATGAGAGGAAACACTTGAAGCTGTTGGCACAGACAATGACTTATTGAATAAGAGACTGCAATAGCATAGGAAATAATATCAAGAATCAACAAATGGAACCACATTAAATTAAAATCTTTGCACAGCAAGAGAAACAACTAAGACTGAAAAGTCAGCCTACAGAATGGGAGAAAATTTTTGTCAACTATATATACATATATATATATATAGAGAGAGAGAGAGAGAGAGAGAGAGAGAGAGAGAGAGAGAGAGCAAAAAACACCAAAAAAACCCTAACAACAACAAAAACACCCCAAATAGCCTAATCAATAAATGGGCAAGTGACAATCTCTTTAAGAACATAGATGCAAAAATCCTCAATAAGAAACTGGCAAACAGAATGCAACAAATCATCAAAAATATCATACAGCATGACCAAGTAGGCTTTATCCCAGGGATGCAGGGATGGTTCAACATAAGCAAATCAACAAATGTAATACATCAGATAAGCAGTAGTAAGGAAAAAAATCACATGACCATCTCAATTGATGCAGACAAAATCCAACATCCATTCATGATAAAAATTCTAAAGGAAATAGGGATAGAAGGATCTAATCCCAATCTGATAAAAGGTATTTATGAAAAGCCTATTGCCAATATATTAAATGATGAAAAGCTGAAAGCTTTACCGCTAAAATTAGAAACAAGACAAGAATGTCCACTATTACCACACCTGTTCAATATAGTATAGTATTTGAAAAAAAAATAGTATTAGAAACATTAGAGCAATGAGGAAGGAGATAAAGAGATAGAGAGGCATGCCACAGCTCCCAGCACAGAGGAGGCCTCAGGGTTGGCGTGCCACAGCTCCCAGCCCAAAGAAGACTTCCAGGTCAGTGTACCACAGCTCCCAGCCAGGAGGAGGCTTCCAGGTAGACGTGCCACAGCTCCCAGCACAGAGGAGGTGAGACACAGGCTGGGAACATACACCCCCCAACCCCCCACTCCCGTCGAAATAGGAAGACAGGTAAACAAGCCTCAGAAAGAGACTTCCAGATCACCTATAGCAACCCCAAAGGGAAACAAGATGGAACACTCTGATACTCAACCACCTGGACTCTCCAAACTGGCAACAAAAGAGGATCTGGAAAAATATGAAATCAGAAATAATTTCCCACATAACAACAAAGACTGAGCCCATAGTGCAAGACATGATTAATAAATATAGAGAGCATACAGATAAAAAATAGAGGACCTGAGGAACATGATGGCATCCCAACACAGGAAACAAATGGAATCTATAAAACAGATGCAAATAGATTTCCAGGAAATTAAAAACTCCACCGAAAGTCTATGTAGCAGAATGAGCCAATGTGAAGACAGAATTTCTGATATAGAAGATAAGATTGCAATTAGTGA